TCACATCCGAGGCCCTTACCACGCCCATCGGGACCCAGCAGGATCCAGTCCGCTTCCTCACCCACCACTCCACCCTCAGTGTGAGGAGCACACTCCTGCCTCAGCACCCTGAAGGGGAGAGCCGTGGCCGGGCTGCCCAAGCCTTTAGGTCCGTTTTAAACACCTGTGCCAGAGCGGCGCTTCTTTATCCGACTTTGCTGTGTCAGCCGTGCCCTAGCGCTCCCTTTGCGGTGGCCCTGCTTTGTCACTTGTGTACTACAGGTCGGAACTCTGTGCTCATTTCCTCTCCCCTCCCCTCTGCTAGGCAGTGAGCGCTCGAGGCCTGGCCTGTGTTTATCTCATTCATTTCTGCACCCCAGGCCTGGGCACGTGGGGAGGGAGTGAGTGTGCAGAGCGTGCGCCAGTGGCTGCCTGCATCATTCAGCTCTTTGTTGCAGAGCCTTGCGTGCTGCTGCCGCTGCAGGTCCTCAGCAAGTGCGTTTTCGTTCTGCTACACTTCTTGCCGCGTGACTTCTGTATCTCCAGCTATAAGGATGTTTCTAAAACAGTAAAGGTTGATAGTATGTGCGTGCAAGTGTGTGTGTGACGTGTGTTAGAGGTCTCACTGGAGTCCCAAGTTGTATTTCTGTGAAAATAGTGTGGGGATTGAGTTCCACAAGGAAAGCAGCCGCCCCATCCTGGAGAACTTGAGCGAGTTCTAGAGACCAGTGGGATGCCCGTAAGCACGTGTGTCACGGCCAACACTCTGTGAGTGCCGCATGGCTCCCAGGCCCTCTGATCCCTCCTGTCCCTCCTGTGATCTTACCTGGCCTGGGGGGTTGGGGGAGCGCAGCACGCTCCCTGGGGCCACTAGGGAGGGACCGTGGCTGTCACTCCTGGCCACCCGGGAGATCTTACTAACTCGTAAACAGCCTTCGGTTTTTACCACAGCAGCCTTCCGTAGCTGGAGAGGAACCTTTAGCAGACCAAGCGAGCACAGCGGAGGACCCGCCAGAAAGTCTCCAAGGGGCGGGCGGTGAAGAGCAGCACGTGTGAGACACCAGAGCAGTGATAGCTCGGGCGCTGCAGGCCACTGTGGCCAGGAGCTGCCCCTGCTTTTCCCTGGCAGCCTCTAGCCCTCTGGAAGTTTCTCTCTACATGGCCTGATGAGCTGTAGAGCTGTAGCCATACCTAGCCAGGGAAGTGTACAAGGTGGTTGGACGGCACGCGGGGTGTGGACATCTAAGAAACTGTCGGGGTGAACGATGCCTCTCCCTGAGTTCCCCTCCCGGTTCTCCCTGGCTCTGCACACACTTGTCCCACCGTCCCGGCCACCTCCTACAGCAGCTCTGGCGTCCTCTCTCCTGAGGGTCCTTAGTTGCGCTGTCCCGCCGCCTCGATGTCCTGAATTGATTCTAAACCTTTCCCTTTCCTGCTCATTCTGACTCTGGTGAGGAGCCGGAAGTTGCACGGTGCTGATGAATAAGGTGGATGAAGATGCACCACGATGTTTTTGTTTGACAGAAATGTCTGTAAACATTTTGAGTCGATACAGGACATCGAGGCAGCCCTGAATTCCTACTCAGGAAGAGGACTTCCAGAACTGCTTCAGAAAGCGGCAGAATGACGGGATAAGTGTGTTCAGGTGAGGGGGTTTAATGGCAATGTATCATTTGCTGTAATACTTTTTTTAAAATTAAATTTTCATCATATATTTTGATCACATGTCATACCATATTAATTTTTAATGCAACATAGAGTAGATGATCAATACGCACTAGCGGGGTGGGGTTTTGGGCCTGTAATTATGTACTTCACGAAGAGCCCACAGCCGTGGCGAGCTTCCCAGGCAACCCTGCCGACGTCCGCCGCTGTCCCGAGAAGCGCGGAGTGTGCCCGAGCACCAAGCAGCAGCGCAGGTCCGTTCAGCTTCTTGCTTGGCGTTTTCGCCACTTTCTGTGCTGCGCCAGGTCCGAAGGTGAGCTTGGCGCGGGTCCTGGGCGGTCCGAGCCCCACTGGTGAGGCCGGCATGGACTCCCACAGCTGGGAGCGGCGCTGCCCTCAGGGTGACACTGTCAGCGGGGCTGGTGCTGGCCCAGGGCAGCACCCCCCCAGCCACCTCAGAGCCGCTAAGTGGTCGGCAAGCCCTCATCCCCTTCCTCCCGCTCTTCTCCTGTGTCTCCTGCCTCTGCCACGTGGTTTCTGGGCCCGCTGAGGTCGCTTGGGATCGGAGCACAGGGGCCTGTGAGTGGCTGAGCCGGGCGCTGTGCTCGGTGGGTGGTGGAAAGGTCGTCTCCGCTTCCGGTAGTTTCCAGATTTGCGGGCAGAGGTGGGGGCACATGGACCTGCCAGGCGGGACCTCCACACCTGCCGAGGCCTGGTCAGCAAGCTGCCTGCAGTGTTGTCACCCACGTCTCCCTGGATGGGGTGGGGAACGGGGTCCGGGGAACCGCGGGGATCACAGGTGCGTGTCAGGCACGCAGGAGTTGGAAACCCACGGCCTCAGCATCCCAGGAGGATGGCACTGGAGCTCATGCAGCAGAAGAAAGAAGCCACGTTGAACACGCCCATTCGAGGACCGCCCCCCCGAGCAGTCGCTCCTCTTGGGAGCACTCTGGGAACTCCGAGCATCAGCATGGTTCTCCGTCTCAAGGATGGGGAAACCACCGCACAGCAAGGTTAAGTGAGTTGCCCCAGGTCAGTGATGGCAAGCCTAGGCAGTGTGCCACCACTGATTGTGTTATTGAAACTCAGAAAGGTTCGCCATCACTGCCCTGGGTCCACCCCGGAAATGGTGGAGCTGTGATTAGAGTCCGAGTGGTCCAACCCCAGGGCCCACACTTTACCCACTCTGCCCGCTGCTCCAGATCGGCCTCGTTCTGGGAAGCCCCACAGGGAGCCAGGCACGGCAAGGTACTGAGGCCGAGTGGAACAGGCGGTCTGTGGGAGCCCCAGGCACTCTCGGCTGCCCCAAGCCGCCTGCTGTGCAGTCCCACCTCAGGGTCTGCTGGGCGGGTGTGGAGCACAGGACAGCGCGGTGTGCCCCTGCGCTCAGCCCGTTCCGCGCAAGCCTGACCTGGCACCCACTGCATTTAGGAATGAGCTGGACCCTCCGAGCTGTGCGGGGTCCCCAGGCACGCAGAGCGGTCAGGCCTCTTTTACGTGGCGCCTCTGGCCTCAGCCAGCCACACTCAGCTTCCCGTGGCCCACAGTGACCTCGCTGCGCAGGAAGGGCACCCGGAAGCACAGGGCTGGGAATCCCGGTGCTGAGTGAGGTCATCAGGGTCTAAGGTCCCCTTAGCTTCGGTATTTTCCAATTTGGACAATTTATGGGTGCATTTTGTCTCCCCACATGCTGCCAGCTTCAGCATGGACTTTACCGGGAAACAGGAAACTGGATAGGCCTGACAGGAGCAGCGTCCTTGTGAACTGGGGACTCGGGGGCACAGACAGACGCCTGCAGAGGGGGACGGAGCAAAGCTCACAGGGAGGAGGGGCGTGTGCCTGGGGCGACATGTTTCACAAGCCCACAGCAACAAGGCTCCCAAGCAGCACCAGATGCGGGAAGGATGGGATGGAGGGTTCACACCCGGCTTCATGCCCATGGCCTCTGTAACTGGCATTCTGTCCCTCCCCCCACCGCTCTGTCTGTCTGTCTCTCTCCTTCCCTTGTTCTCCCTCTCTCACTCTCCTGCTCTCTCTTTTTGTCCATGTGCGGTGCCCAGACACGGTGGACCCAGGTGGCAGAAATCATGGTGCTGCTGGGGAAGTTGGATGAGCACCTAGTTTCTGGGAGGCCTGCTGCTGAGCTGAAGGGCTCAAGGAGGGCCGTGCACCCTGGACTTGAGAGACCCAGAGCACCTGGGCGGACTGCACGCCTCTCTCCCTCCTGGGCACCTTCCTCCCACCTCACCTGGGGAAGTGAGACACCTGGGTGCCAGAGGCCCGGCCAGGCTGCCCCGCAGGCTCCCGCCGTCCACCGCGGCCTCTCCCCAGCAGGTCCAGTCCCTGGTGCATAGGGAGGGATGTGAAATCCATTAAAGGGACCTGAATATGTTGGGGAGAGTGTGACAGGATAAGTATGATGTAATTTAAGTATTTTGGCTCAGCAAATGGAAGGAAATTACATTTCCTATTATCTTCCAACAGTTATTGAAAATGAAGTGAAATATATCCCCTCCTCCCCCAAAAGTCAAGGGTTTTTTTTCCCCCTCAGACGCAATTTTCCTGGAGTTTGTTCATTTGGCCTGCATCCCCGCCTCTCACGACTCGGAGGCATTCTGTTATGAAACATTCCATGAAAAAAAAATGGACAAAAAAGTATACTACTTCTTTAAAATATATTGCAAGAATACTCATTTTCTGCTTTTTATTGCAGCACTAGCTGGTGTTCTTGCATGCAGTTTTGTAATTTATTCTGAACATTCTACTTAAACCTTTTTTCAATAGCATGATTTTATTAGAGTCAGCTCACTGGACTTTCCCAAAAAGGTATTTAAGATCAAATAAAACCAGTGCTTGGAAAAATATCATTACAATATGAAAGCAGTTACAAAAACATTAGTACTGCAAAGTTTTATTTCAAATGGCTGAGCTTGCTGTACCCGGTTATATGGCTCTGCTCGTGTAGGCGCACTTGCGGGAGAGGGAAAACTGTCATCTTAGCAGTTTCGGCCACGGTAGGGGCCGTGACGGAGGAGGTACGGGGTGACGCATAGAGGGAGGCAGGAAAGCTTCTAGAGGCTGGGATCAGAAATAAAAGCGGATTCCCCTCCACCCTGCGCCCTGGCTTCTCAGCCCACTCTTCCTAACGCCCCTCAGCTCTCTGTCCCCAGGGATGCGGTCAGGGCCTTAGAGGAGCCCTGCTGGAGGCTGCGTTGGCGGTGTGAGCGGCCTGCCCGTTGGAGTCTGCTGGTCCGCGTGCTCTGTCCTTCGCGGCTTCCTCCATGCACAGCAAACTCCCCTCCACCGCGTGCCCCAGGTCCAGCGATGCCTCAGCACCCCCCCGGCCAGGTACAAAGGCCTTATCTGAGGGCTTCGTCTCCCAGCCCTGTGGGTGGACAGTGGCCTCAGGGGCCAGAGCGTGGGCCCCAGCGCCGGCGCTGAGCGTGCGGAGCTCCTGTCCTTCCCCTCGGCCATTCCCACACTCACCTCGCACCCTGCTGGCCCTGGCCTTGGGAACGCAGCTCTGAGAACGAGTGCTGATCTGGCTCCGGGCAGTTCTGCATCTCCCTCCCGTCACGGCCCCGGGAAAGGTGGCCCGGCCCACGTCTTAGTTTACAGGGGCCTTCAGGACCCCAGAAGAGTGGCTTCCAATGAAAGCCTGACGTGTGGGGGAAAGCACTGCCTGTCACCCGCGCTGGGCCCTGCCCGGGACGGGAGGTAATCCGCCGCTGGTCGTGCGGGATGAAGGGCGTGTTCAGGAAAGACGAAATGAACCAGCAATTTCGACCCTGGCCTCTCGCACAGGTGATCAGGAGTCTGCAGTTCCGTTACCGTCTTTCTCTCCAGCCCTTTTCCTCCCGGCCAAAGCCTCACATCCCCAAGTCTGCAGAGTAGATGGCTTCTGTGTGGACTTTCCAACGCGGCTTTTAAACTGTGAGTTGCTATTCGTATTACTTTTCTAAGGAGAAATAGCCTTAAAAAGTAAAGTCTTTATTGCTTCTTAAAAGGCCCAGCACTCTGTGATAAATTCTCATATTTTGACTGTTAATATGTTTGAATGAAAATTATTTATACATTTGGGTGAGGTTGAGTGGTTTTCATTTGATTGCTGCCTCTGGAAATGAAAGCAGAGTAGCAGGAAATTTACATGTCATGCTGTGATGTATATCCAGATTATGCGGGGATTGTGCGGCAGACGAACCCCAAGTAAAACCATTCCCATCAAACTGTGACAACTGCAATTCCTGACAAGGCCTCTTAGTTTGGGGGCTATTATCATTGTACAAGAATATAATCTATTGACAGTGGGGCTGTTTAATACATTCAAAGGCAGACAGTGGAAGAAATCTTGACTGTTTTCATTCACCGCTGCACAGGGGTACAGATCAAAAGTGAATTATATTTAAAAATATGCATGTATGATGATAAGATGCATGGCATTCATCAACCTGTTTAGTCATGGTTAGGCTGAGGAGGAGCGCCGATATTACTGCCATATGCGGTGCGGAATAGAGACGTGAGACTGGAGATTAGATCATCGTCCGTCACGGAGCGGGCAGGCAGATCTGCTTACCCTGATCTGTGCCCGCCTGCGCAGCCCGGGCGCCCTGTCTTGGCAGAGCCCTGGCCTCCTCGGCTGGGCAAGCTCCGCGCCTCAGCCCTCCGAGTGGTCCACGTCTGAGAGGGGCAGGGCCCCTGCCTTCCTGGAAGCCTTTGGTCACAGAGGCCTGCGTGCGTGCGTGGGTGCCGGTTGTGTGGCCTCGAGCTTCCCAAGGCCCTGTCTGAGGGTCTCGAGGAGGGTCACGTCTCCTCCACTCCCGGGTGCATGGGGCAGTGAGGCTGCCAGGCCTTGGGCTGTAGGGATGTTGGTGGTCCCGGCCCAGGGGACCCCGCTGCAGTCCCTTTCGATGCGAAGACGCTGGCGCGGCTGCAGGTGCAGGGTGGTTTCCGTGAGGGGCTGGGCATCCCCCCCACGGGCCTTTCGAGGGTCTGCGTTCACCAGTGCGCTGCAGACCACAGAGGACGCAGCCGTTTGTTCAGACACAGTGTGAGAGGGCAGTTAGGAGTGAAACCAAGGGGCCTGGTGTTTCCAGAGGTGTCGGCCACCACCTCCGCTCTGATCCCAGGGTGAAAGTGGCCAAAAGGAGATGGAGCGGAGGGAACGAAGGGACGGGAAGGGCTGTGGCCCCGGCTTGGCTCCCTGCCACACACGCCCGGTGCCAGGTCCCTCTGCGGCTTTGGAAGCAAACGCTCGCGCGAGCCCCACGGGCTGACTCCCCTGTGAAGCCGGACAGTCGGTGCGAACGTGCGATGTCCCCGTTCCGAAGGCTGGCGTGGCTGGTGCGGCCCAGCGAGGCCCAGGTCCTCATGGAGAGGCCAGGCCAGGACGGCAAGGTGGTCAAAAGGAGGACTCCCGGAAGCAGCCAGACTGCTGGGTGGTGTCCGCGGACTGGCGACAGCAGCTGGAGAGGGGACCCGTTTTTCCCGGAGGAGCTGGCCCACAAGGAAGTCATCTATGTCCGAGGACGCCCCGATCCCGGCACCAGGCCGGGCCAGGTGGCCTCTCTGTCCACACAGGCTGGCAGAGAGCCCGCAGCCTCTGTGCCCCAAGGGCTGGCAGGCACACCCTGGTGGCCGCAAGCGGCACTGCTCCCTGATGCCGCGTGACTGTCTTGGCCGTGGCGGCCTCCAAAGTGTGGAGCACCTGGTGCCCGGGGGGAGCTCACAGCTCTGCGTGGCGGTGCGAGGGGTTGTCTGGGGGGCAGCCTAGAGTCCCCCCGTGTGCCCAGCACCCTGTGCCCCCATACTGACGTCTCACCGACTGGCATGGTGTCGTCACGATGAACCAAGCCGTTACATGTGAGTGACTGACGTCCTCGTCTTATATGATGTCCTGACCTTGTCCCAGAATCTCACGCTGCACAAGCGTCACACATCCCAGGGTCCGCTGTGCAGCGACGGGGTCACAGGCCCCCTGGTTCTGGCGATGCAGCACTTTCGGGGGACACTGGTCAGGTTTGCATGACGTCCTCATGGGTGCTCTGTGGTCATGGCCCTGGGGAGGAAGAGCAGAGAGGAGAGGGGACAGGCCCATCCCCTCTCGAGGACCTGCTGTCAACCTGAGCCTCCGCTGTCATGGGCTTGAAATCCTCCTGCCTCAGCCTCCCAGACATGTGCCACCACCGTGCTGGCCACAGAGGGGTGGCACGTGAGAGAGGGGTGGCTCTCTCAGGGCTAACAGGAGCCGCCTGGCGGTCACTTTTGTCACCTGGTGGAAGGGGGTTGCTGCCTGTCTCTACTCCGGCCTGTGCCCCGCTGGAAGGCGGTCGCTGGGCACAGCCATGTGGAACGGCCGCGCAGGCTGCACCTGGGAACCGGGAGGGTTAGGGGTGCTGGTTCTGTCCCAGGGTGGGCAGGTGGCCTTGGGCGCTGTGGCTGCTCCTCTGACCCAGGTGAAGCCACGGAGCTGGCCTGGCAGTGAGGACGAACGGCTCAGGGACGCGAAAGGGGAAGAGCAGAGAGGGTAGCAGGGGCTGCGCGCCTGGCTGCTGGGCGTGCGGGGCGGCCCTGCCCGAGGGGACGCGGGGAGGTGCCCTGCAGGGGTGGCGGCCTGGCCTCAGGGGTCTCCTAAGCCAGGGCACGCGTGCCCGGTGTCTCCCAGTCCTGTTACCAACGGGACTGCAGGACAGTGTCCAAACCTCTGCTGCAGAGGGGGACCCCGTGTGCCTCCGAGACCCCCCACCGCCCGTGGAGGTAACGGGCGGGAGGGCGTCTCCTCCTGTGCAGGCTCAGGACTCCGTGCCCTGTCTTCAGGCTGGGCTTTCTCGAGTGTGGCATGGATCCTGACCCCCACTCCATGGGGCTGCGGGGCCCCCCTTACCTCTGTGAGGGCCACCTCTGTCTCTCATCCATGGCCCCTCCGTGGCCAGGCGTGGTGGCGACACACATCTGTAATCCCAGCACGCTGGAAGGCTGAGGCAGGAAGATTGCAAGTTCAAGCCCAGCTTGGGCAACTTAAAGACTCCATGAGACTCTCTCAAAATAGAAAATAAACTAAGGGCTGCAGATGTAGCTCAGCGCAAGGCCGAGGGCTCAGTCCCCAGACCCGCGGTGTCCCCGGCAGTGTGTGTGTTTCGTTGTGTTACGACTGCTCATCTCTCAAGCCAGCACCACTCCACCCCACAGCCACAGCAGACGGCTCCAAGCGGGTCCACAGAAGGCGCTCAGCCACGCCTGACGCACAAACCCCACGGCCACGGGCCCGGCGCCCACCCAGCCCCTTCTGGTCACGCTGCGCAGGCAGGGCCAGCTGACGGGAGGACGGGAGTCACCCTGCACAGCACCAGCCGCAGGCAGCAGGGCCCTGCATGGATGCAGGGCCAGGGCTTTGTCGTCATGGCTTTGTCGCCATGGCTCCCTGGGCTGGAGGCTGAGGCCAGGGTCAAGTGACAGCCCAGGGTCCAAAAGAGGCTGAGGCGGGACCGGCGCTAGGTGGAGGAGCCTGCAGGGCTGGGGCCAGAAGCTGGTTCTGCAGAGCGTGGTGCCCGCCTCAGCCTCAGCCAGCAGACCTGTTCCCCGGAGTGCGGCTCAGCAGAATCTGCCCCCAGCTGGACCTCACGTGCGTGGCGCGGAAGCATGCAAAGCCCAGGGCCGGCGAGCAGGTGCCGGCTGTGAAGCAGCACTGACGGCCGTTATGTTCGTTTAACTGCTGAGGGAGGCCTGGAAATCCGGAGCCGAGGCCTCTGTGAAGGGTGAAGAACCCACGGATCTACACTCCGGCATGTCTCCTAGGAGCCCGGCTCTGCCGCGAGCAACAGGCCCACCTGCTGCCCACCCAGCCTGCGTCCATGGACACTCTGGCCCTGGGCTGGCCTCCGTTCCCGGGCCGCCTCCAGGGAGGCGCAAACTGCAGCCCAAATGGTGGCAGAGGCAGCAGACGCCCCGGAAGGTTTGCGTGTGAGCTCCTCTTCGCATGCCTCTGAGAGGGCAGCCGCACAGCCCCGCGCCGTGCATGTGGCGTGGCACGCACCGTGGGTGAGGGAGAAGGAAGTAGCATGCACAGGGTGGCACCCTGTGGTTGAGAGGGACTCTCTGCCCGCTGCTGTCCTGCCGGTGGGTGGTGCCCCTTCCTCCCTCCCGCCTCCCTACCACACAGGCGGCGTCCTGGGTACGGCAGGTTGTTCTGCTGCCCTCCTGCCTGCCCTCCGCCGTGCTGTGACGTTGTCCCCTGATCTCCACCGAATGGAGCCACCGGAGTGGCTTTGGCACAGAGGGTTGCGCCACGCTGGCCCGGCCCAACCAAGGCGACAGTGACCATGGAGCCCTGCGGACCAGAGCATGCCCGGGAGCCCCTGCTGAGGACCCTGCTCGCAGAGAACCGGGGAGTGGGGCGGGAGGGGCCTGGCGGCGATGTGCCGTGGTTTTGTCTGTGTGGTTGGAGAATTGAGGCTCAAAGGCAGTAGAGTAGCTGTGACAGGATGTGGGACGGGCACCCTGTGTCCTTGGCCAGCTGCAACCCTGCAGGCAGACTTGGGCAGGGCTCCTGGGTGAGTCTGCGGAGGGCACTGGGGAGCCCTGGCTCCTCCTCGTGAAAGGGAACAGAGAAGCCGCAATCCTTCCCCTCTGCTTCCTGCCAGACTGTAACTGTGATGGTCGGAGCCACAGCAGTTCCACTGCAGCCACGAGGAAGCAGCTACTGGAAGCAAGCCTGTAAGCACAACCTTCAGACCTGTGATGTGAGGAAGGTAATCTCTCCTGCCTGTTTAATGCTCTCAGCCTTGCACTCGTAACTTATACAGCTGCATTTAGAATGACATTCGTAAAGTTCACATCATGAAAAGAAATAGTTTCTTAACTCAGTATTGGTCAAAAGCCAGATATGTTGTGTACATGAATTTCCACTGAACAATCCTTTTACAAATGCTACAAACCATTTCACAGAAGAGAATATCATAATTACTGCAAATTGTGGAATGCCTTTAGCTGTGCGGTCCCGGCTGCCTTGATGTTCTGGCTGGGTTCGAGGCGTTTCCCTCTCCTGCTCATTTTGACCTTGGGGAAGAGCTGGAAGTCCCACAGTGCCAGATCTGACGAGTCGCTGGATGAGGACACAGCACTGTGTTTTTGTGATCTGCCTTTCTGCGGGATGGCGCTCGGCAGGCAGCGGTTACTGTGTTTCTGATCACACCTCGGAAAGACCCTTGAGAGAGAGCACGCCGGAGCTGCTGCAGGAAGGGGCCAGGGCCATGGGACCAGTGTGTGCGAAGCGAGGGGAGGACTTTGAGGGGGACTTGCGGCAGTGTGTCTTTTACTGTAACAGACTTTTTATTTAAGCAGGGGTGTTCGCATCACCCCCTTCCTCTCTCCCTTCCTCCCTCTGCCTCCTTCACACTAACACTCACCCAGGCTGAACCCCCCAAACAGCCACGCCTGCTGCAGTTGCTGATGAAATAATCTACTGGACAGTTACACCAGCATGGGGCACGGTGATGACAGAGCCTGCTGGGGCTGGGGGCGCTGTGGGCTGCAGCCCTGGTTCCGAGAGGCCCGAGGAGCCACCAAAGAGCCAGGAGGCAGAAGCCCAGGCCAGGCGAGCGCCGCAGGGTGAGGCTGGGGCCTGCGGAAGGAGCCAACCATGCAGACGGGCTCCAGGCCCCGGCCTCCAGGAGCGTGGATGCACGCAACCCGGGCTTTGGGGCGGTGAGGGCCAGCAGCCTCACAAAGCTCTTCCCCGGCCGCTGGGACCTGACAGGCCCTGTCCTTTGCTGCCCCAGGGGGCCCGGAGTCCATGCAGAGGGATGACAAGAAGACAGGTCTGGGCCACACGTGGCGAAAATGCCTCTCTGCACACAGGGGAGTGGCTGTCACTGACCCACCGTCGCCATTGCTAGCTGCTGCCCAGAGTTTGCTCCCACTTAATCCCCACGGTCATCTTTGGGGACACCGACGACTGCGCCCCACTCCGCAGATCAGGAAGGGAGGCCCAGCAGGGCCACGTGGCTTCCTCCATTGTCACACATGGCAGGTGTCCCTGACGCCACAGCCTTCCCTCCCTCTCCAGGTGGTAAAAGAGCTGCGGCCCTGAAATGGGGGCCCCGGACGGTGCCCTGGTCCCCATGCTGGGCTCTTGGGGGAAGGCGAGCTGTCCTGTGTCCGACCCCCTGCTGTCCTCCAGCCCTGCCCCTCTGTCCACACCCAGGGCAGCCCCCTGTGGGCTGGAGCGGGACTGCACCCAGGCTGGGCACAGGAAGCCGGGCTGTGGACACCGCCCTCGTGGACCCCCGAGACTCCGTCACGGCCATCAGATGCCCCCACGGAAGGACAGCCCCTGAGTAGGCGAGGGCCGGCGCCTGTCCCGCCCGTTCTGGTCACAGGGCAGCTGCCACGAGGCGCAACCCTGCGCATGAGGAAGCTTCAAGGAGATGGAGTGATTTCTAACTAAAGAAAATGCTGCTTCTCGGCCCGAAAGCGTGGCCCTCGCTTCATCTGACAGTGTAACAGACGGTGGTGGTTTGGGGGGGATTTGTGGCATAAAGTCAGGCAGGAGAGGTAATCAGCGGCCTGGCATTTATTCTTGATGTAGGAATATTTGTCCCTCAAAGTCAGGCTGCGTGGAATATTAGCATTTGAATAAATTATTCAGCACCTTCCAGAGAAAGCAAGGGGAGAAATCTTTCCAGCATTATAACATGGCAATCTACAAGGTAGTAGCAAAGGAAGGCTGTCATTTTTTCTTCAATTACAAAAGGCAAATATTTATTATTTATAAGTATGCGCCTTCTATAGGCTTAAATGTTATTTATGAACCTGTTGCACAGCGATTTTCAGTGTAACTCATTATTTTTAGCCTTAGGGTGTTGTAAAGGAGCATGGATATATTTAATGACACTGCTACTCAGCGCAATTACACTGTAATCATTATGTAAAATGTGCTATTAATTAAACCAATTTCTAGTTAGAACATTCGCTTCTGCAGGGCTTAATCTTAATCTCCAGCAATCTTTCTCTCTGTTTTTCCCCTATTAATTACGTGATTACTTTTTCAGTTACGTATGCTAAAATATGCTTTCTTTTGAAGCTTACGGCCATCCTTTAGGGGTACTCATCACCTGGGTCTGGGGACGGCTGGTCAGAAGTTTCTGTTTCTCGAACTGGAGAAGGCTCCAGACTGAAGGTCATCTTTGTGAAGCTGGGTAAATTTGATAAATCAAATGCTGAGATAGTCCCTTTTTGGCTTAAGTAACATATAAAAATCGCTAGTTTTGTGGCTTACAGAAATGTAGTTATTTCTCAGTATCTGAGTAGGACTGATACTGGTGACCCCCCCTCCCCATTACCACACCCGGAAGTGGTCAAAGCCCTTATATAAAATGGTGCAGTGATTTTTTTGAGACAAAGTCTCACTGCATAGTCTAGGTTGGCCTTAACTCACTGTGTAGCTCAGGTTGGCCTCAAATTCCTGACAGTCTTTCTGCCTCAGCCTCCAGCATGCTGGGGATTACAGGAATGCGGCACCTTGCCTGGTTATCTCCTGTATAATTTAAATCCCCTCTTGGTTACTTGTAAAAATAGCTGTTATATTATTAAGGAGTAACTATAAGAAAAAACCTGTATGTGTTCAGTACAGATGCATTTTCGCTCCAAGTATTTTCAGTCGCCAGTTACTTGAATCCATAGACACAGAGCATGTGGGCACAGAGGGTCCTCTGCCTCAGTTTCCCATTTCTTGAGTCAATGAAGTCTTGAGTTTACGTCCCTTGAAAGGTGTTGTGTTGGCCAGCTTTTCATTCCTGAGACAGAAACCTGATGAAGTCTACTCCAAGGAGGAAGGGTTTGCTGTGGTTCACAGTTCCAGACGGTTCAGTCCATGGTTGGCAGCTTCCTCTGCTGGGGCTTGAGGAGAGGAAGAAATGCCAGTGTGGAACTGGCTGAGAAGCTGCTCACCTCCTGGCAGCAGGAAGCAGAGAGTCAGAGTGATGGAGAAGACAGGGCTGGGGACCAGATGGCACATTTCCTCCAGTGGCCCCACCTTAGTGCCCATTCAGCTGACTCATCACTGATGGGGTCAGCACCCTCAGGACCCAGGCTCTTCTCTAGGCCCCACCTCTGAGCTCTGCTGCCTTGTGGGTTGAGGCCTACATGTAGGGGTCTTGGGGGTACTTCCTGTTTACACCCTGACAGATGGGGGACACTTCCTGTTTATGCCCTGGCAGATAGGGGACACTTCCTGTTTACATCTTGGCAGATGGAGGACACTTCCTGTCTATACCCTGGCAGATGGGGGATACTTCCTGTTTACGCCCTGGCAGATGGGGGACACTTCCTGTTTATGCCCTGGCAGATGGGGGACACTTCCTGTTTACCCCCTGGCAGATGGGGGATACTTCCTATTTATGCCCTGACAGATGGGGGACACTTCCTGTTTATGCCCTGGCAGATGGGGGACACTTCCTGTTTATGCC